TATAATAGAAGGATGAGCGTACAACGGTAAAATGCTGAAACCATGTTGCAGTATTAGTCGAATTAATAAACTTTTCCCGTTTTATTTTGACGATTCTTTGCAGTATTATTGATCAGCTGTCCTGCCTCTGTTTCATATAAAACATAGACAGCAGGGCATCACGAGGAGAGTGCCATACTCCGCCAGCGAACAATGTACACATATGTACAGCTCACATGCGCGTGTGGCTGGCTCGTGACCTCCGACGGCGGCTAATATTAATCGCGCAACACTGACGATTTCACTGCCGCTGGCCTGCACGACACCACGAACACACGAACGCCATTGAACGATCAGCATAACCTGCCTCCAACTCCGTTGGGCGGAACGGCTAAAAACCGCCATGTCCCTACGATGCCCCTACTCTTGAAGATAATGGAGCGCGTGAAAAATCTGGTCAGTACTGACTAGACATTAGTCGAGTAATGCGACCGACTCGCGTGTCTGGCTAGCTTCCGGCGAACTCGCGGTGTTTCCGTAATTCACTGACAATGAAATTTATTTTCTTTATACCTATCTTTTCGTCGCATTTCCAGTCATTGACGCAGCCATTACTCCCACAAAACCGTTTTGTTATTTGATCGCCATCGGTTGATGACCACGCCTTGCGTGGATTGTAGTAACGCTGTAGTAATAACGTATCGAGTCAGCCGCCCTAAACAGCAGGCAGACCGAAGCAAACAACTACTTGGCACACTTCGAGAGTGGGTCGCAGCACTGATAATGTCTAGTCGTATGTCGGCTGTTCGGCGAAAATTACCACGATTTTCACCGCTCATTATCTCAGCGTAGGCGCATTTGTAGGGACATGCGGCTTGGTTACTATATATGAACAACGACTAGGACAGCTCACTGTCAATCAAATACTGCAAAAGAATCGTCAAAATAAAACGCGCGAAAAAGTTTATTTAATTCGACTAGATACCTGGCAACATGGTTTCAGCATTTTACTGCTGTACGCTCTCTTCTTTATATGCCTTGCCTACTGATCACAGAATAGAAGAATGGGTGTTTATTTTTTTCTTCAGGTAGATGCAGCACTGGCGCGGTCAAGCGTGCGGAAGTCAATCTACCCGCTTGCAGAAGTGACACCGGAGTACAAGCTCCAGTGCCTGAGTGCCATGCATAAAAGACGAACGTTCGATCCGACTTCCATTACTGCAGACCGTGGCGAAGCAGCGGGAAGGTACGACCCAGGTTCTTCCCTCAACATCGCTCATATAGTTATTAATACAATTAACACGTCTCTCAGCAATAGCAAGGATGCACTACGCAGGTTTTTTTCACTTGCATTGGCCTCAATTGATGCCAATAATATAACACAGTATCTCAGCATGAGCAGCGTACATACGGCAGTGTATGCTCTTGATAGTATGTAGTTAGATGGAAAATTCTTTCTGTTTGAACTGGTTTTCATGGAAGCAGCCAAATATCAATAAATTCCAACTCAACATCAATAGATATCTCTCGGTGTACTAACACTTTTTAACAGCTGTGCATGGTATATACCTTGCGCATCGACTAGATAGTCAAACATCGTATCGTCGGAACCGGGGGGCGTGTCAGGGATGTCGAGGTTCAGGTTCCCAGAACGCAGGAATGCGGACAGTTTGCGTTTGTCGTCCAGCTCCAGAAAGGCCCCTACACTCCACATGATGCTGAACACGTACAGCTTGGCAAGATGGCCGACGGCGGGGCTGGCACGTGGGAGCAGACCCTCTAACAGTGTCAGAACCTGCGTTTAGCAGACACGTACACAAGCAGAGGAAGTGAGATTACTATTTCTAATGCTAGCATGGCTCTAGCCTACTAAACTAACTTTCGCCATTCATACCTGCAAAATGAATTTAAACAGGTAAATTAATTAATTAAGTCGCTTCCAACCTAATAAGGTTCAACGATTCACAATACCAATGCACTTCTACTGAAAACTTATTCCTTTATAAGCCAGGAATTTTTTCATCTGATGATATGTTAAATCTAACTTGGTACCATCTTGTCTCACTTTTCTTAGTCAGTTTAAGTAATCTATTCGCTGTACCTGATTAACAATGTTACACTGCAGGACGGTCATCCTATACTGTAGATTCTGCATGGCATAGAGCAGAATCTCACTGAATGAAGCGTGAAATAATTCCCTTAGGCATTCCGCCTCCACAGCGTTCCTCCGCAGCAGCCATGCCTGTAGATGGCAGCACACGCACGCATATGCTTATAACCACTGATTATCTTCTCATAGAATGTAGTAACTGCTACAGTTCCCATTTAAAATGCTTGCAGAGATTACACTATATGATCATTTAACACACTCGTGATGCTGGTATACCAGTGTTACTTAGTTTACTTCGATAAACTACAGAGCTAATGCATGGTATACCTCTTGTTCAGCACAGGTTATTTATTCAATTGGAAGAGCTTCTCCCGTATTAAGGTGATTTACCTATACTTGGGCATTGAACTTGTAATTAATTCGGTTTACCTGCAGAAGTGGTTTCCAGTCCAGAGCAGAGGAGCTCATATAGACCATGCCGTTTCGTGACACTGTTGCTGGGCTTGCATTGTCGATGTTGTCAACCTCAAAAATAATCTTACATGCTGGGGACATTGGGATTCTGTCACCTATAATTACACATATAATAACAATTGTAAAGACAATATTAATGATGATGACTCATGCTTGCATGCTGATCACTGCCAATTATTCTCGATAATTGGCATCGTTATAAGCTTCCAGTAACCATCATATTCGCAGATCAAACTGATTATGTACTGGATGTTTGTAATGCATTAGTGTCATCATCGTCATCTTCTTCAGCATCATCATCATCTGGTGTAGGTTCTGGCTCTTATATCTAATACCATTCGCTAGTGTCAATGTCTTGTTGTCGTCCAGCACTGAGTTGAGGTTCTCAATCCAGATAGCATCAACAGGTCCATCCAGGACTATCCACACATGCTCATCTATAAACAGATTCATTTCCCATCTATGTATCCCACAGCCAACAATTATACACGAATCTACTATTTTTTGCCATTATATGTTTTCAATGAACCATGACGGCAGAACAGAGTACAGAAACATTTTGTTACATAATGATTTAATACATTGATAAATGAATAATCAAAAGCTGGAGGAGTTATATATTAGACGAGGAAACTGTTCAATGCAGTGAACTGTCAGAAGTAGACAGTAGGCCTACACTACTGTACCGACAGAACGTCTTAATAAATGTACGCCTACAGTTAGATTCTTATGATCAACTGCCTTAAACTACAAACAGTGGCACTACCTTTCTTTAGTTGGTGAGTTTTACGCCACAATGCGGAGAAGATGCCATCCGTCCAGTCATTAGTGGCCACGTCCAATCTGCCAAACATCTGTGGTGCAGTGATGGCTTTGGGGTTCATTCTCATTTCTCTGCAACATCAAAGTTTTTAGACTAACTAAGATTGGAGCATACACTGTGTACAATAGGAGACAAGGGGAGACTACCTTCAAAACGAAAGCACACATTGTATACATTAGGAGACAAGAGATATCAGATATATCTGGACTAACACACAGGGTTTGTGTTTAGTCAGGGCCGTAGGTTGAGCAAATATGAGGCACTTTTGAGTACATGTACAGCCTTCATTCTGACTACGACAATTCTCTTTTAGTAGAACAATTTATTTTTTTAAATTTTGCTCCAAAATCTAGGCCCCCCCCCCGCAGGCTACGGCACTGTTAGTAGTGCAAAGCAGCAAAGAGAAGTGCGCAAACGGTACACAGAAGTAGACAAGGCATCTAACGTACTTTACTTACTTATCCTCTTGGTCTCCCGATGGGACATAAGGCCGTAAATCTAACGTACACACACAGAAACGCACGCGCACACACAGGCGCAATAAAGAACCTCCTCTTCATAATACATAGACTATAGGAGCTGTTCAGCCATCACAACTAGTGGCTATGTGAGGCTCGTTAATGCTGGGACGTACCTGTGAGGTTGCCCACAGGCTGTCATGGCCGTCATCAGGGTGTGGATGCAGCTGGTCTTGCCTGTTCCACTAGGTCCCAGCACCATCATGCCATGTCTCACCTTCTGCGTTTCGTAAAGCTGCAAGCATCAACGCCATCTGGTGCACAAACTCACGACTCCTGCTCTCAGTATGAATGTATAAAGGTCGAGGTAGCCCACGTCTTCAAAGCATATAATTCATCAAGTATTAGCAAATGTTTAGTACGAGGGACTAAGGGTGGCCAGTATGTACACAGTGGCGTAGCCGGGGGGGGGGGGGCGATGGGGGCGGTCGCCCCCCTAAGATTTAGAAGGCTACCTTATTTAAACCAGCAGGACTGTTTCAAGTCGATAAAACATGCCAACAACATGCACCAAATTGCACCATTAACAACATCAAAATGCAAAAAGCTCTCACTGAGGGAGTGCGGACACCCCCCTCCCCTCGGTCGCTCCGCTACCACGAACTGATTGCCGCCCCCCCTTAGATTTAAGCCTGGCTACTCCACTGTATGTACAATGTATGTATGTTACATTCCCCAGCTAACACGTGATACCCAATTAACTGCTGGGTGGGAAATTTTGCTAACCTGAAAATATAACTCCTATTGTCCTGGAATGTTATACGATTAATAAAATACTTGTACATTGCAAAAAAATAATAATTCTCAATGTCATTTAACTTTTCTCAGCACTTGGTTACTTGTTTTGAAATCAGTAAAAAATGACCTCTCTGATCTTGAGCGTATTGAACGACAAACCTGCTTCAGTTTGAGCATCCACGGAGTGTGGTGGATGAGGCCCGACTGCTCGATCACCGTGGCGATGGCAGCTTCCAGCTCCGGGTAGCCCGCGCTGTCCAGCACGATGCCCGGAAACAGGTCTGCGATGAGAGACAGGAAGAGCGGCTCGTCCTCATCTATCTGTAGGAATTAAACAAGCAGTCATGTATGCAGAGTGCCTGCTCTAAAAGCGCGAAACGAGAAGTCAATGTGTATATCTTGCACGTGTCTGTAGGGACTGCTCATAATGTGGGAGATGAGATCGATATATACTCTATGCAAATTTGGAAGAAAGCATTTCATGCTGTGCCCATTTTTGTGTTTCATCTACCTATCTAACTGTTACATACATGCATGCATACAGATACTGACACATACATGCACATGCACAAACACACACCTCATGCACATGTATGCACAGATACAGACTGACAGATACAGATACTGACACACAAACGCACGCACGCACGCACACACTCAAGGTGCACACACACGCATGCACATATGTATGGTGCACACGCATGCACGTATGGTGCACACGCACGCACGCACGCACGCACACACACACCACACGCGCACGCACACCACACGCGCACGCACACGCACACGCAGACGCACACCACACGCACACGCACACAAACACACACACACACACACACACACACACACACACACACACGCACACACACACACACACACCACACGTAACACAACACATATAATCCATTACATGCACGCACCAGTTTAGATAGGTTCATGTCCCTCAGTACGCGCATGACGACCGTAGCCTCACTGTCGCTCTGGTTGCTCCGCTTCACAGCTCCAAGTGTCCTCAACACTGACAAGATGTTGCGCAGACCGAAGTCATAGTGGACCTACAACATATCGACATTCCACATCCGGTAAGAACTTTACTTTATGGTAAGAATAAACATCCGAGTCTTTGGGGACGTGTGCTGAGTAGAACCTGACTTGCTTAGTTTAGTGTCTAGAGGCAGGAGCCCACAGCACTATAGCACGCACCTGTTTACTGAGCTGTTCTTCGCACAGCCTGTAGAGCGTGTAGAACTTGCGTGCCAGTACCACGTTGTCCATGAAGCCCACGCTGGCCAGCTTTACGCGGATGATGATCTGTCGGTCCGGAACCATCATGGCCACCGTGCGGAACTGCACCTTTAGATTCTCAGGCAGCTCCTGTCGTCCGGCATAACCTGGGTTCTGGACATCACGAAATCACATGATTGTTTAGGAGATTTTTATGACAAAAATAGACATAATGTAGTTTAAAAATTTACGTACAAAATTTAATTTCAAAGTTCAATTTAATTGAAAACTTTCCATATATGATATGCACAAAATATTTTTATCGTTATGATACAATAGAAATAAAATCAATGTATGTAGCTATCTATACCTTCGCCCATCACATCGACAATATCGCACGGATTCTTTCATAGAAAAAAAGAAAACAGAGGCCAATAGGAAACGACTCGCAAAACATCGTACCATGGTGATGAATATTCCAAACTCTGGATTCACCGCAGTAGTGCTGCCATCTGTGAACACAAGCTGCTTTTGGTGCTCCTTCTTGCCGGTGAGTACAACAGCAATCTGTTGAGCTGCGACAGACAGCACTGGCAGCTCTATCCGGTTAAATTCATCGAAGCAGCCCCACGCCCCCGATTGTGCCAGTCCTGCACGACAAAAGTGGTACAGGAAATATCATCATCAATATTACTTATCGACATGACATTTAGTCTAGCATCATGAACCGCTGATTTACAAGTCATACACAAATTCAATGAAGACCGAGGGATAGTCCAGTTTTGTATATGGTCCAGCATTTGCCCTGAATTGTATAGACTAAAAGAATTTTACAATACGAGGAATAAATTACATTGCATCGTTGACAAGACTGCATTGTAGTACGTGTCACACGTACCTGCCACGTTTACTGTAGAATATAAGCCATGATCTATCGCTGTCACGAATTTATCGACCATTAATTAACTGTTTGCTACCTTTGAAGATGCGCCCCAGGCCTCGGTAATCCATCTGGTCAGAGCAGTTGAACACAACCACATATTTTCCCAGGCATCGTCCCATGTCCTTAACAGATTCTGTTTTCCCGGTTCCCGCTGGCCCAGCCGGTGCTCCTCCCATTGACATGCCGACTGCCTGGGCTAGGGTGATGTAGCACCTATAATGTGAATCACACATGAAAAGACGTGTGCTGACGAGAGGAAAGTCAGGGATAGCCAGCAGAGTAGCAAAATCTAGTCTGGAAGTAAATAGTTCTGTAGTACAACTGTCGATGTATGACCAAACACCTAAGCTTACCTTTACTGCTATAGGCATTTATATTGACTTAATTACTAATTAATTAAACTAACTTATTAACTAACTATTTTTGGCTTGCTTGTGTTTGTTTGGATAATTCATGGCCTCGGCTCCTTATGTCAGGGTGTACTTAAAGGCCTTTATCTGCAAGTTACGCTAACCTTGAATCATATCTGTCAGTGGACAGCTATGTTTATTTTCATACCTGTCAGTTAGAGGTGTAATAACTAGACGTTCTGTGCAGCCCAAAAACTCATTCTGGTAGGTGAAGTTCACGTTTGTGATAGAGATCAGTGTGCAATCTGCATCCTCGTTGAAGTAAAACCGTGACTGCTTCAACCACTCAAAGTCAGCCGTAGACTTTACTCCCATACGACACTGCGGCAGGAGAAATTAATGTACAAAGACTATTCCACCACTGGCTCTAAAAAGCTACATGCTACACGTGTCTATTATATACGATACACATATGCTAAGATTTTATATGTGTTCAGTTACCGTGGGTATAGATTGCTCACAAGTCTGTTTATTATATAGGAATGGGAGACCCAAATTAACTCCACAGTTCAGATGTGCCAATGTAGACGTGGAGAAATGGGTGGCTTCTGTGGACACATATATGAATATATATATAATGATCTAGTGAATATGATGATATATTAATATATAGATATGAAGTACCAGATCATCGAATATGTCTCGTTGGTGAACGTGGATGGTGATGAGCGTCTCGAACTTGGTGCGCTCGGCGCGCGAGAGCTCCGCCGTCGTCCGTCCAATCAGCGCGTTCAGCATGCCGAGGAAGCTCTGATTGGTCAGTGGCATCGCCTTCTTGTCGGTCCTAGCCTTCCTGAGCGCCGCTTCCGAGTCCCTTGTCCAGATCATCTGTATGCCCAGCAAGCCGACCTGTGTAGAATTAAGGAGCATGAGGCACAGACGGTGATGATATTTTACTAGTCTAAGTGAGGAGACACTCTGCATAGAGTGGACACCAGTCTATAATTTATAGACTGGTGTCCACTCTATGCAGAGTGTCTCCTCACGTAGATACTATTGGTGATTGTCTGAGGGTGCTAGAGTAAGGTTTCCATTAAGTTACCTTACATAGAGTATGGATTGTATTTGACACTAATGAAAGGTTGATTTCCAAAAGCCAATCTAATCTACTAGAGATACTGGCATAGTACACCGTCTGTGTGCTCACCAGCAGGAGGTTAACATATTGTGTTGCTTATGAAACAGTTTTTCTTTAATAAATTTAGTTAACTGTATTGTTCTTAGTATCCTAGAAGCGCCACCGGGCTGAGGAAACGGAAGAACGGGGTAGCAATGAGGAGCAAGAAATGGCGGGAACATGATGTTGGTGAATAAACGTGTAGTAAATTTTAATGAACTGACTACTACTTTGATTCATCAGTCTGAATACATACACACAACATTACATTAACCACATGATTACACACACGCACGCACGCACGCACGCACGCACGCACGCACGCACGCACGCACGCACGCACGCACGCACGCACGCACACACACATGCAACGCAAATACATTCACATTAGTTCTTTGTTTCTATGTATGATTCCAGTGATAAATAAGTAAACATGCCTGCGCAGGAAAATGCTGCAGAAACTGCATCAGGTTGAAGTCCTTGTCGTTGACGGCGTCGGCGGCCGCACGGATGACACCATGTAGCGACTGCTGCGCCACCTGTAGGAGAGACATGAGCCACTCCTCGATGGGGCCTTGTGCCTTCACGGGTCTCTCCAGCTACACGCAGAGAAGTAAACATTCACTTAAACACTCCTTACAATACATGAGTTTCAATGATATGAGCTACAGTAAACACCCGCATAAAAGAACCCGTGATTTTAAGAACTTCCAGGCTGAAATTGGACCAATAAAGCACCTATTATATAAGAACCTCTTCAGCCTGATAAATTAAACAGGTTCTTATATAAAAAAAAATACCAAAAATTAGAGCAAACTGGAGCAATCCAAGTATGTGTGCTACACCATTGGAAACCAACAACATGTAGTTCCAGATAATATTAATACCTCCTCACAGGAGGATTGGATTTTCCAGGGGGTATTTTGCCTCATTTTCCAGTAAATGTTGGGGCTTGATTTTGACGATACAGAGGATTGAGAGGGAGGATGGTGTGAATATTATTAGTGTCAATTATTCATTAATTAAAGCCAATTTTACCTAGATAATGTACACAATATCCTCCCCCCCCCCCAAATTAAGAACCTCTTTAAGAACCTCTTCAGGCTGATTTCTCACTATGTACCATATATATAAGAACCACTTCAGCCTGAAACAGAAAATCACGGGTTCTTTTATGCGGGTGTTTACCGTACTTCTCAATGGGGCCTTAATTGTGCCTTTACAGGTCTCTCCAGCTATGCATGCGGAGAAGTAAACATTCGGTCACAGCGTAAATATCAGCCACAAATAACAACAACTAATGAATCTCACAAACATGGTATATTCATGCATAAAATGCCGAATAAAACGAGGGGATAGAAGGATAGGATATAGACACTGATGTGGATATGATTATAGATTGGACATGGTTTTAAACTGATGCCTTCTTGGTGCCCACTTCTGGATTCATGCGCCTCTTTTCGTTCAAACATAAAAGCACACTTCATCTCAATTAAAGTAAAAAAATTCTTTCAGCACACTCCTTACCTCTATAGTTTCACCTTCTGAAGAGACGATCGCCAAAATGCGGTCATAATCCTTTCGATGAAACTCTACAGTCTGAGTGTTATCGAACACGCTCAGTAGATGGCGCTGTATGTTGTGAGAGTTGCTCGCCTGGCCGAGGATCTCTAGCAGAGTTGGGTCGGACACGAAGAAGAAACGAGGAAACAGCGCTCGCTTGCTCTCCAGGTACCTGCAAATACGACGTCAACAAATCTGTGCGTTTCACTGCGAAGGGGGTCGATGCATTACCAGGTAGATGAACGTCTCTGCATTTTTCTATACCCACAGCATATACGAAGACGGTTGTGGTCATACGTGGCACCTGACCTACGATGGCCCAATTGGAGGCAGCCTGTTACGGTGCAATTACCAAATGCGTGCTGCATGGTAGAGTATTCTAGAATATATATAACTTGCATTAGAGTTGCTTAGAAATAAAGAGAATAAAAAACTTTAAAAAAAACTCATTTCCCATAGATTTATAGACATAAAAGTAAATATTTATATAATAATAATAATAATTATTATTATTATTATTATCTAATTAATAATACCCAGTGAGTGACTTCTGGCAGGTTTCGAGTTGCTCGAGTATGTGAGGCAGCAGCAGCATCTCATCACAGCTACAGCATTCTACGACCCTCCGAACCTCCCTCGCCTTCTGCATGATCTTTTGCCACGATCTGTCGATGCCATTGAACCTGTGCGCTTCCTACATTCAAAGCAGCTTTTTAAAAACACGTGAAATACTGTTCCGCCACCGCATCTTCTAGTTGCGCTTGCAAACGCGTTTCGTTTTTCGAGGAAGACTATGTGCCACATGATGCATCACTCGTAAACCACTTGATAGGGGCTGAAGAATGCTGCTGATGGAGCAAAGAAATCCAAACGAAGAGGGGAGTTAGCATAGGACATTTGTTTACGACTGCGGCACTCGACGGCAGCGTACCTTGGGCAGCTGGCGCGCGATGTCTCCGCCGATGAAAACGGCCTCCAGGTACAGCCACAGGTTCTGTACGGTGAGCCAGGTGTTGATGACCTCTATGCTATTGGAGAGGTCTCTCACCCACGTCTGTATTGCCTTCCTGTAGTGCGTGTTGTACCTGCGTGCGATGAGGCACAGTTTGTTTTTACATACAAGGAGTGTTGGTATGTATCGGAATAGAGTTAGCACTGTTTAACGAAATCTATTTGAAAGTAAGGATAGGTTATCTTTTCAAAATAATAATTATAATTCTTCATATTTTTTCTTCTTCGTCTTTCTCCTCTCTTTCACCATTTTATTCATTGCTACCATTTCCATTATTTTTGTCACTGTCATCATCAATATTAACATTATTATCATCATCATCATTGTTATCGTCATCATCATCATCATCATCATCATCATCATCATCATTATCATCATCATCATCATCATCATCATCATCATCATCATCATCATCATTATCTTCTTCTTCTTCTTCATTTTCTTCTTCTTGCTATTTATTCTTCCTTCTTTACTAACACATTTTAACAATATAACCAAGTAACCACTACATTTACTCTCCCTATTCCTTTTATTACTAAACATTAACATTAATTATTAACTTACTAATGAATCACAATTACTCACTTACTACTACATACCTGTTACTCAGCAAGGAACCGAGGACCATGAGGCTGTCCTCCATCTGTGAGACGATGTCCATGGTCGTGTCTCCCTTCAGCAGCAGTTCTCCACGGTTCTTGAACATCGATAGCTCCAAATCCTGTCCCTGCCAATCTGCCACCACCTGCTTCAGCTTTGCCTCAATATCTCGCTCCTTGTCAGCAGCAATGCAGATGTCCTAACAGTACAGAGAGATTATTGGCTTCAATATCGTTGATTAGTCACAAGAACATTACACGTGAACATTAACCGTAGAATAATTAAAAACCTATAAACCTACCTACACACCTATACACACAAAAACACCTATACACCTTTCTCTTACCTATAATAACATAACTAAATCCTTCTTGTTCACAGCTACATACCTCTATGTTTACGTTCTCCTATATCAGATACCTCCATGTTATCCCTCTCCATAACTACATACCTCTATGTCCCCTTCCTCAATCACGTACCTCTATGTCCTCCTTGTGCTGCAGCAGGGGTGCATAGAGGATGCTCCTCAGGGTACAGTCGCTAGAGTTGACGTCAAACCTATGGCCGGTGATCTGCCATATCTGCTCCCAGTGCCTCGGCTTCAACACTAGACCACTCATCAGCTCCAGTAGGGGCAGCGTCTCCATGAAGTCATCGACCGTGCGCTTCAGCGTGAGAAACGCCGGCCATTGCTTCAGCGCGAGCGGCAGCTTCCTACACCTGGTGACGAATAAGAATGATTTGATGCCTCGCGACAAGAGGGACATGAAAGGTTGTTGACAAGGAAGACGCTGATGCACCTGATTATGAACAAGGAGGAAACAGAAGTAGTATGTATTTGTTGTGGACGAAGGAGCGTAGAGATATGTTGGGGATGAAGGGGCATAGAACGTTGTGAAGGGGCATCGAAGGGGCACAGAACGTGTGAAGGGGCATAGAGATATGTGATTGTGGTTCCCGACCCTTGTATATTTGTGGATGTGACCCAGTTACTTGTACCCTATGGGTAATTCGAGCACAGTTGGTACGAGTCTGAATCTGAATTATGTGAATCCGATATATACAACTCGCCTTCTTCCTATAATGCCTGGACAAGGCGTCAATTGTCACCACATCTCACTCACCTGTTCTGCAGCTCCTGCAGTTGCTCTGCAATGACATCGACCTTGACTTCGGTCCAGTGAAGGTCGCGGAAGCGCGCGACCTTGGCAAGGGCGTCGGCGTACAGCGCGTAGAGGCGCTGCAGCAGCAGCAGCTCGCTGCGAGCGCGCGCGAGATTCGGTTGCTCGGCAACGGGCATCCCGAACAGATGCTGGCCCTCCGTGTACGCGTCGTACTGCCGCCAGAGGGCGTCGAAACGACTCTGCGCATAGAGCGAAGAGACTCAGAGTACTAACGGTGGGAGTGTGAGCATGAACTGCAGGGCACTACACTGTAATACACTATATACTTATGCACTATGCACTATACTATTATATTATATTATATTATGTTATTTTATTTCATGTTATATTATATTATATTACATTATATTATTATATATATTATATAATATTAGTAATTAGTATGCACTTATACTCTACGGTTTCACGGTCAATGTGTGGCTAATATTACAGCATTGTCCTACATGGAATATTATCAGCCTGTCTGCTGCAATGTGTGGGAGAGAATTAGCATGAACTGCAGGGCACCACACACGAGTATGACAGGTATGGCAACGTACATCACCATGCACTTATATGCTCTACGGTTTTACGGTCAACGTGTGGCTAATATTACAGCCTTAATTGTTTTACCTAATATTAATCACCCTAACATTTGTCTTACCTGGAATATTATCAGCCTGTCTGCTGCATCCGACGGCTGAAGCCCAGTAACCATCGGCCCCTCCTGCAATATTATAATACATTAACAGCTTTCATTACTGTTATGATTGGAGAATATCTTTCAGTCTCACTGCCATATTTGCATGGATGTAAAAGCGAACAACATCTTTTACAGACTGAAGCTTCGATGATCCTGATTACGACACCACAGCTCCATGTAACTTCTAATGTACAGTTTTAGCATATCCGTTTTCACTCCTATCTCTAGTCATAACTGATGCTCTACTGCCCTTCTTAGCAAAGTTGGTAGGAAAGTTCCTATCTGCTCCTACTTTTTCCTTCAGACAAAAAAACCGTTAACAGCCGACACACCGCCTACCTGTTCCTACCTCTACCTACACATTGATAAGCTGTCAACGCCACTTGCACACAGTCGCGCACGTTGTTAGTACTAACGACCGTCGTTGCCCCACTCATACTCACCCGCTCACCGTTTTCACCAAGCCTACAGCTTGATAAAACTGTCAGCGCCACTTGCACACACTCTCTCGCACGTTGTTAGTACTAACGACCGTCGTTGCCCCACTCATACTCACCCGCTCACCGTTTTCACCAAGCCTACACCTTGATAAAACTGTCAGCGCCACTTGCACACACTCTCACGCACGTTGTTAGTACTAACGACCCGCTCACCCGCTCGTACTCCACGTAGAAGGTCTCGCAGTCGGTCGTGAATCGCTTCACGTTGCCGAACAGCTCGCGCTTGAACGCCGGCTGCATGCTGATGAGGTCGCACTGCAGCCTGTAGGCGTGCGTCAGCAGGAGGCGCCACCCGTAGCGCAGCGAGTCGACGTTGTCGGCGGCGTCGCCGCGGGCGACCGACAGCTGACTCTTACCGAGCATGCTGAAGCATTCCTGCAAGATGGATGGTGGCAGTGGGATATGCGTATATATACCAGGTCCTACGTGTGTGCACTGATAGATAGATGGGCCATCGAAGTGTAGTTACTGCCGACACGCACACAAACGCACGTATGCACACACACACGCACGCACACACACACACACACACACACACACACACACACACACACACACACACACACACACACACACACACACACACACACACACACACACACTACTACACACACGACACGCACGACGACGACTACCGACACCGGTACAGCGACCGACACGCACGACACACACACACAC